AGTCCTGGCTGCCCTGTTTACTGCAAAATGCTGTTTCTCCAAGCCTCTGTTTCTTCCTCTGTAAAATGAAGATGGTAATATATGTACATCCAAAAAACTGTGTATAAGTCATTTGGAGGCAAGGCTTGACATGAGGCTGTTCAGAATCTATATTTATCTCACTTGGCATTTCCTTGCAGAAACATTAACATGTTAATTTTAACGTGTTGCCCAAACCCTATACATGCTATCCTGTGATACTAACTTTCCCCATGGTTACAACATGGCTGCCAACAACATCTGGGGCAACATACTCCCTTGTGTACCATGTTACCTTTCTGAAACCAAAAATATAGTATGTTCTAAAACACATCTTGTTCCAGAGTTTAGGTATAAGAGGGTGGAGACCTCAGCCAGACTGAGCGACAATTTACTCAGGGATCTAAGCCGGGAAAGTGGAAGTCAACTGGGATCCAAGTCACTCTAGAAAACTAGTACACCGTGGCCAGTTGCAGTGGCTCCTAGCACTCCAGGAGGCTGAGGCAGGAGGATCACCTGAGGTCAGGAGTTCCAGAGCAGCCTCAGCAAGAGCGAGATCCTGTCTCTACTAAAAATAGAAAAATTAGCCGGGTGTCCTGGTGTGCACCTTTAGTCCCAGCTACTCGGGAGGCTGAGGCAGGAGGATCGCTTGAGCCCAGGATTTTGAGGCTGCATGAGCTATCATGACGTCACTACACTCTACCCAGGGCGACAGAGTGAGACCCTGTCTCAATGAATAAATAAAGAAATAAAAATGAAAATAAATAACATTAAAAAAAAAGAATACCAGTACCCCAATAGTTTCTCCCTGGGGGGGGTCCTGAAGGAATCCCTCCCCGCCTTGCCCCTCCACCTTCCGGCACTGGCGAAGTGATTTTTCTCATAAATGATTTTTCTCTTTTTTTTGCAGAGCAGGGAGCCTTGGGTCCCTTGAGTTGGCTGCGCGCGCAGTCGGTCCCCAGCAGGGCCGCGGCAGGTACTAGCGCGACCGCGGTGGCGGGTGCTGAGGGTGCGAGTGGCCAAGGGAGGGACTGAGAGCGATGATTGAGTTAAGGCGTGACTCAGTGACAAGGAGGGTCCGGGGCTAGTCTGGGAAGGGGTCGCCCGGGAGTGTGTCGCCCCTCTCCCCCCTCCCGCTCGGGAAAGCGTCCTTCGCACCCGCTGCTCTCGTCCCCTCCTCCCGAGGACCCTGCGCCCTCCCAGGGCCTTCCAGGGGAGAACGCCCCGTCCGTGCGGGTCACAAAGGCGCCAGTTCCAGGGCTCTGAGAACGCCGGGTGGGGCACAGGTGGCACGAGCAGCCTCCCGGCGCCGTCGGACACGCGCCGTCCGTCGGGCGCCCCCTCTGGTAAGTGTCGCCGCCGCCTGCTGCGCCCCGGCTGCCCAGTCCCTCGCCGGGAGAGGCACAGCCTGGCCGCAGCCCCCGGCCGTTCAGGCTTAGCTGCCCCAAGCCTGGAAAACATCGTGGTCCCCTAGGGTTAAACATCAATAAATTACGGCGTGTAAAATAACTCCGAAAAAGCCCAACAAATTTCTATTGTCCTCCCGTAACAATCCTTTAAAAAAAAAAAAATCTGTGTACGTGTTTCTGCGGTCCTGTTGGCTGGTGCCCTAAGCACGTTTGACTCTGTCGCCAGGTTGTGTGGCCCTGGCTCAGTACAACCCACATGGCTGCCTGTCCCAAGTTCCCTACAGAGCCCTTCACCAGGCAGGCTTACCTTTCAAAGGCAGGTTGTTAAAACTCAGAAGCAGAGAAGGCCCAGGCCTCCCCTGCCCCAGCTAATGGAATATTAGACCATAAATCTGATCTCTGCCGAGAGGAAGCTTCATTCACTCAAACTATTTGCCGAGACAAACTGATACTTGAAAATACCGATTCACAAACAAGCTACATTCATCCAGCGCCTGTCACGTGCTAGGCACCCTGCTAAGTGCTTTACATACATTATTTTATGCTGAGACATGGGTGCGGGTATCCCCATTCTACAGATGAGGAAACTGAGGCTCAGAGAGGTGAAATCACACTGTCAGTGAAGGTCAGCTATCCCCAAGTCATGCTTTTAAAATGGTGCATTATAGATCCACTTAGAACCCAAAGAGCCCTGGAAAGTAGAAGGGCTCAATAAAAAAAATTGGAGCTGCACAAAACTGCAGAGTTGAAAGAGGTCCCAGAGTGAGCACGCTTTGTCCAAACCTTATCAGTCAGGTAAACCCTGCGACAGCTTCTACCCACGCCTTGAGGGCTCATCCAGAAATGATCAAGATATGGCACCATTGTCTTACACCATTTCCCTGCCTGTGGGAATTTTCCCTCACATAATGATTTACCAAAATTCAGTTGGCCCTAAACCCTCTGGGGTATAACAGGGAAAAGCCAAAGTTCCTGCATTGCCAGATACTATTGTCCTATCACCCATCAACTTGAGAATCATTTTCAAGGTAGTGTATTATGTAAGTTAGGAATGCTTTAGGCTATAATGAACAAAATGCGTGATGAGTACCTTAAACAATAGTGACACTGGTTATTTCACTTAACAAGAAGCCTGGAGGGAGGCAGTTTCAGGGATGGGGCAGTAGTGCACAGTGTCAATTAGGACCTAAATTTTTTCCCGTTTTTCTTCTTTGCTGTCCTCAGTGTGACAGTGATACTTCTCCTCATGGTCATGGGATAGTTGCCACAGCACCAAGCATTATGCATGCCTCCATAATAATTTCTAAGAGCAGGAAGAGAGGGGAACATGGACAAGCTCTCACTTTGTGTCACAAAGGAACAGAGTAGAATTCTCCTTATGTCTCATTGGCCAGATATGTGGGTCACATGCCCATCCTTAGACCAATCATTGACAAAGGGAAGTGGGGTTATCGTGACTAGTGGGAACCAATCATGTCATGCTCTGGAGCTGGACACACTGAGGGAGACACAATCGGGATTGTGTTAGGAAGAAAGAAGTCGGGGTTACAGTCATGCTAGCTTCTATAACACATACATCTCCACGCTTCATTGGCTTAATTCAACAGAAGTTAATGTCTCATTTATGTCACAGTCCAATGAGAATGTTCACGGTTGGCAGGTAACTGCTTTCGCAGTTGATTTGGGGAACTGTTTTGTGACTCTGCCTCCGATAAGTGTCAGATGGGGTAAGAGAGGGTGGAAAAGTCACATCCCCTTCTTAGAAGTTAGGGTCTGGAAGTGACACATTTCCCCTCTGCTCACATCCCATTGGTGACAGTCCATCACAGGGCCCTGCCTGGGTGCAAGAGGAGCTGGGAAGTGTGACCCCTGGCCAGTGAGTGACCTCAAGCAACTCCACATCAGGGGAAGGTGGCCATTGGGGAGGCAATGAATTAATCTCTTCTCGGCTGATCTTATTACATCCTTGCTTTGAAGGGACATCCAGCCTTTTCCAGACCTCTTTGCTAGTCACTTCCCTCCAGGTGCTGCCACCTATTCTAGACCATGAGTCATTCTCTGAACACTCCTTTTATTCACTTGCTCCTCAGTCTTTGCCCAGGCAGTTCTCTTAGCCCAGAATTCCCTCCCAACTTTTCTTCTCTGCCTATAAACTCCTATTCATCCTTCAAAACCCCAAGTGAAAAGTCATCTCCTTTGTGGAGCCTTTTCCACTATTTTACCCAGGGTAGGCTTCATGCCACCTTGAAGGCTGACTCACCACTTAATTCCCTACAACTGTTAGCTTTATTCTTGGGCTACCTGCAGAGGCAACGTGGCTGTCAGCCACTCCCACCCGCACTCACCTAAGCTCAAGTGCAGGAGGAAACAAAGTCTCTCTCTTCCTGAGTGTTGAAGCCTTAATTCCACTATGCACTCTACTTGGACTAGCTAGGGCCACGTGCCCATCCCTGAACTAATTCCGGGTCAGGGAGCTGGCACTCTGATTGGCCCATCCAGAGTCATATGCCCCAATCCTGAAGCTGGTGGGGTGTGGCCAGCCCCTGGGGAGCAAATAATGACCAGGAGGGAGGAAGAGAGGGTGTGGCTTCCCACAGGAAATTCGGGATATTGTTACCAGGAGATAGAGGATGCTGAACATCCCTCAAACTCTTGTAAACATTGACCACACTGGGTCTTTGCCGTGTTGAACCACCTGTACCGTACTGTATCATCGCAGCTACTGTTTACTGGGCACTTACTATGTGCCAGGCACAGTGCTAAGGTGACTTATAGATTCAACGACCTGCGAAGTGGTTTCTAGAATTTCTCCCATTTTCTAGATGAGGAAACTGAGGCTCAGAGAACTGAAGTGACTTGCCCAAGGTTAGTAAGTAGCCGTGGAGGAATTTGAGCTGAGATCTCATGGTGGACACAACCAATGCCTTAAACCACTGCATTGCAGGGCCGCTCACTGGTCGCAAAGCTAGAATTTCTGCTTTTGGATCCCAGCCCCTGCCGTCTGAGAGGGGCAGTGCGGTGGGTCTCATGGCCTTATTGCGCATGTGGGATTAATTTTGTACCTTCCTCTGACTACCTGTGCGCCAGATGAAGTTCAAGCTGTGACATGATAAAAATGCCTCTCAGTACTGCTGGCTCCTGCTGTAAGATGGGAGGGTCGGGGTCTCCCCACAGCTGCAGCTGAAGTTGGGTGCATTTCTCTTTAACCCCATCTGGGGACACAATGCCCTAATGTCATTTTGCCCCCTCTCTGGGAATGCAGGGAGCAGAAGGGTAACCGACATACCAGAACCATCTGCCCAGCTCCTAATAATAAATGGTGAGAGGAACAGGTTCCAGGCAAACATTGCTTTAAACAACAACAAAAAAAATGCCTCTTCTCACACCCGGGCAGCCATCTGCGTGTCCTCCCCATGAGCCAAGCTGTGGGCGGAGGAGGGAATTGGGGACTGGAGGGAGGGGAGGAGGTGCCCGTTCTGTCCTGCAACGCCAGCAGGGGTGGCTCACGAGGTCTTTTCCCTTTGCCACTGTGGACAGGGCATTGCAGAGAGAGAGAGGCACACTCGTGGCTTTGACCTCCCTGAGGACGGTGTCTGAGCAGAGGGAAAGCGCGATTCCTTCAAGATGCCAATGGTAGGTGATACGCACATTCGCTCATCTAACCCTGGCAACAAATCTATGCGCACCCATTTTAGAGATGGGAGGCTGGAGGCTCAGAGACCTTCAGTGACTTGCCCGAGGTCGCACAAGGTGGCAGAACCAGAACTTGAACCCAGAACTCCCCCACACAGCAAAGCTGCCTCTTCAGTATGCAATAATGAGGCCAGCTATCTCTCCACCCTAGCAACCCAGGGTGGGTCTTCCATGCAACAGACAGGCAGCTCACATCACCCAAGGGGGGTCTCCCACTTCCAGCCCTGGCCCAGCCCCTCCCCCAGCCCTTGAGCTGAACTGTGGGCTTCTCCCGTCGCCTGACCCGTTGCTGCCTCCGCGCCTGTCCTTGTCTCACCCAGTCAAGGAAGCAGAGGAGAAAATCCTCCGCCGCTCGCCAGGAACCTTCGGAGAAGGTCAGAGAGCAGCTGGCTGAGGCAGAGCTTCGCAAGCTAAGGCAGCAGTTCAGGAAGATGGTGGAAAGTCGGAAGTCCTTCAGCTTCCGCAGCCAGCAGAAGATCATGAGTCAGTAGTAAGTGAGCGGCGCAGTTTTGCGCTGAGTGACCTTGGAGGAGAGTTTGGGGTTGCGTTTCCTGGTGCTTGCCTACTCCCCTGTGTCGGGGGCCACTTCTGAACCCAGTGTGGGGACTCCTGTTCCCAGTTGCAAGAGAAACCCACTTGGGATGGCTTCAGTGGCGAGGGGGACTGAATGCAGGGCGTCTCGAGGACCCCTGGAGAACAGGACACTCGAGTCTCAGGGAAGGACCGAATGCAGGAACCACTTCTGGTTCTTGTTTCTCTCTACACGAGTTTTGTTCTTTTCTCTCTGAATTTCAGCCCTGGCTTGTGGGAAATGGCTGCCCCAACTCTCGAGCTTGCCGAGCTACGCAGAGAGACCGTCTTGAAATCAATTCCAATTCCCAATGCCCAGGAGAGGGAGACTCTGATTGGCTCAGCTTGGGTCAGGTGTCTACTCCTGGGGCAGTCAGCTTGGGGGATGGGTAGAGGCATAGGCTTTGGCTGTCACCCTATGATCCTGCCACAGAAGTGGGAGGGTTCCCAGAGAATGCCAGAATCACGGGGCTGCGGACACCCCAAGGACGTTTCCTATTGGTGTGTCCTTAGAGCACTGCAAGATAGAATATTTAAAATTGGGTTGCCCTAGAGATTATGGAGTATATTATTTCTTTGGGCAATAGAAAGGTGTTCCCTGGGGTTGAATAAACAAACATTAAACAGGCATTCTTAGATTCCAAAGAAATGTAATTCCTTAGCTACATCCGCATTGTTTATAAAGGCAGGAACGACTGTCCGTTATTAGATGTTCGATGATGTGGGAAATTCAGAGGACGGAGAAAAGGGATTCTTTAGATTTTCCATAGATTCAACTTACTCAGGGCCAGGCCTAGTCCATATGGGACTTCCATGGGAATTTTTAAAGAGGCACCCTTTCTCAAGACACTTTACTGCCATCTGTTGGAAAAATTGTCATTATGTAGGGATTTTGCTAGAACAAGAAAAAGTGTCCCGTAGAAAAGAGTAATAAATCAACAAATCAGGGATGCGTTTTCAAGTAATGGCACTTCCTAGGGCTGTGCAGTCTACAACCTGCACATCTGTGCCTGGCCACCCTGATTCTCAGCCTACCTCTGGTGGGCATCAGGAAGTACCTCCTTCCTGGTGTGTCTGTGACAATTTTTCTTGAGTCTTATCCTTCTGCACCCCCACACCACCCCACACACAGGGTTCTGGCTCTAAGTCAGTCTCTTTGATCTAGTTTCACTTTGATGGAACTGAAAAGGAGGGAGTGGAAAAGTGGAGATTTTAGGTTCTTTAGAGTGAAACACCTATTAAATATAAATAGGGCCAGAACTGAGGCGCAGTGCCTAGGGTATAATATTTAAGGAGGCGCTTTTTCCCCAGTGCTGACCCTGTGCTTAAAGCACCCTGACAGTGAGCGTCTCCTTAAATTTTGGGGCTCCTTCCTCCCTTTATCCCAGTCCCAGCTGGGCACACACAAACCTTCCTTTTGCTCTTACCAACCCTTCCTGAAAGCCTAGCTCTGGTAGAGGGTGGCACTGTCTCTCTCTTTCTTCTTCCCACTTAATAAGGACCCCCTTCCAGGAGGGGCTTAAGAGGGTACAAAAGTCCCAGCAGGTAGGTTGAGAAGACCGGGCTCCCGAGGTCACTAGCCACATGTGGCTATTTACATTTGTAATTAATTAAAATAAATAAAATAAAAAATTCAGTTCTTTGAATGTGCTAGCTGCATTTCAAGTGCTCAATGGTCACATGTGCCTAAGTGGATGCTATCAGACCCTGCAGAGAGAGAATATTTCCATCACTACAGAAAGTCAGCAAACTATGGCCCACGGGCCCAATCTGGCTGGCTGCCTGTTTTTGTAAATAAAGTTTTATTGGCACACAGCCACGCCTATTCATTTATACATTGCTCGTGGCTACTTTCCCATTGCAAGGGCAGAGCAGAGTAGTTACAACAGAAACCGCATGGTGGCCTGCAAAACCTAAAGTATTTACTGTTTGGCCCTTTATAGAAAAAGGTTTGCCAATCCCCACTCTAGAACATTCTTTACTATTCTATAGCAGTGCTTCCAAAACTTGACCATGCGTACGGAGCACTTGAGGCTCTTGTTGCAGAGCAGATTCTGATCCAGCCGGTCCCTGGGTTGGAGCCTGAGAGTCTATATTTCTCCAAGCTTCCAAAGCACGTCAAGGCAGCTGATCTGCAAACTGCTCTAAGCAGCGAGTATCGGTTCCCAGAATTTTCCAGAAACTCAGCCTCCGTGCCATTTCCCATCGTTCGGTTGTTGTGCAGTCTTCCAAGCCGCCTTTTCTCTTTCGAAATCCCCCTGTTTTCCCACATCCCCCACCCTGTCTCTTCTCCAAAGCAGACGGAGGAAGGGGAAGGAGGAGGCTGAGATCAGCCCATTTAATAAATCGTTAGCACCCCAAGTAGAGAAACGTGGAGGTTAGAGGTTATTGTGCATCTCTGTTGACACAGACTTGAACATCCTGCCTGATGGGTTTGCTCCTCATTACCAGAGGTAATTGGCTGTAGAGTCTGGGAGGATGGTCTGCAGACTCAGACAGATGCCAGCGAGCCGCTGGCAAAAGCGAACTTGAGGGCTTCCGCCATGTCTGGGTAATGGATTTTTGACAAGGACAGCTGCAAATTGTTCCCTAGGAAATAAATGCCCTGAGGAGCAGTTGCAATTGCAGTGGACTGGGTCTCAGGTGATCAGCGTTCCAGACCTGGATCCCAGGCCGCGGGCGAATCCTTTTCAGCCGCTTGGGCGGGAGGTACCTCTCTCTGCCAGTCCGCTGCCGGGGCTACGGCGCCTGGCGTGTTGGAGCAAGGTAAGCGCAGGGGTGCAGGCTGAATCGTGGGCTGCTTTCCCAACAGCAATGAAATCAAGACCCTGAAGGCAGAGCAGGATGAGATCAGCCTGCTTTTGAGTCTCACGAAGTCCTCGAAGAACACAGATCTGAACGAGAAAAACTACATGGAGCTGCGTTTCCTGCTGCAGACCAAGGAGGACTACGAGGCCTTGATTAAGTCCATGAAAATGCTGTTGGCCGAGCTGGATGAGAAGGTGCGGTCTTTCTCTTAAAGGGTTAACCAGAATGCAGAGCAAGGGCGAGGAGTGGGGGGTACCCATGATGCCTCAGGCCACATCTGACACCCCAGTATCCACCATGACTGCTTGGGAGAGCCCTCTAAGTGCCACTGTGGCTATTGTCTCCACTCCCTTGGGACCTCCGGGCTCCCAGCATCTAGGTTCAGCCCTATTAATCTGTCCCTCCACCAAGCTCCCTCTACACTTAGAACAAATCCCACATCCTCACCAGATCAGTTAGGAGAGGCTCGGTTAGGCTGCGGTAACAGACTCCACCTCTCCCCCAATGGCAGTGGTTTAAACCAACAAAGATTTCTTCCCTGTTCATGCCACGTATCTGTTGTGGTTGGCTAAGGGCCCTTATGTCTTCTCATTCTGGGCAGAAAACATAGCAATGATGTGTTTTCAAGTGATGACACTTCCTAAGGTTGTGCAGTCCACAACCTGCACATGTGTGCCTGATGACTCAGCAGTGTACTTGACTCTGGGTGTCAGGACCATTTTTTTTTTTTTTTTTTTTGCCTTAGGAAAGAGTTGAGCTCCTGCTCTGAGAGAGAGGACAGATCGTTGATTGGCTCTTTGGGGGCAAATTGGGTGCCCAAAACCTATGGGACCAGAAAATATCAGGTGGTTTAAACCATCTTGAACATTGCCAGGTATTATGGCAGAGAAATACAGTTCTGAAGGGTCTCACACTGGCAATTGAATGCTCCAGTCACTTCTGCTCCTGACTCATGGGCTCCAAATAGTCACGTGACCCTACCCATCTACAAAGGGGTCCAGGAAGTGCAACCCTCCCACGCATCTGGAAGGCAAACAGCTAGAGACATTTGTAAGGCAGCGTTCAGAATCATATCGCTCACTGTAGCTGACCTAGCCCCTGCCTGTCCGGCTGGCTCACCTCAGGGCCTTTGCACATGCTCTTCTGGTCCTGCTGCTTGTCCTTCAGTCTCAACTTCAATGGGACTTTCTCAGGGAGGCTGTACATACGTCTGTCTTGTTCCCACAGTACCGTCCCCACCCCCACCCTGTGCCTGTCCCAGTGCCCAGCACACAGTAGGTCCTCCATAAATATTTACTACTGCGTGAATCTGGAAATCTCTTCCATCTTTCCTCTGCTTCAAGCCCTGCAGTAATTTCCTCTTGTTCTTTCGACAAAGGCCAAACCCCTCACCAGCTCTGCTGCCCCTCCCAGCATTTAATCCGTTCTCTGATCCACCCACAGTGGCCTTCGCCATGACCTTTGAGCCCACGGTGCCGTCCCTCACTTCCGGGCCCTCGCACATGCTGTTCCCTCTGCCTAGAGTGCCCTTCCCCGTCCTGTCTGCACTTGGGGAACTCTTATTCATCCTTCAGGTCTCAGCCCAAATGCTGTTTCCGCTGGGACTTTGTCTTCGTCTCTCCCTGCTAGATGCCCCTACTGCGAATGCCCGAGACACCTTGCACGCCCCTCCCTAAACTCATCATGGCTCTGCATGGCTTGTGTCCAGTCCTGGGTTGTAAGTTGTCGGGGTAGGGACCCTCTGTCTTGTTACCATCATCATCACACCCCCGTTGTCTGGCACAGAGCAGGTGTTCGCTGAACACTGATAAACGAGCGGCTGTATGAGTGAATCGATGATGAATGCAAAAAGAGTCTAACCGTAAAGAAAGGAAAATCGAAGACAAGCGGGGGACACGGGTCCTCAGGAGCATTAGGAAAAGGCAACGCAGTTTGGGATCCTCAAAAGATTATGGGGCTCACTGTCCAGGGCAAACTGTCTTTGCCCAGTGCCATCCCAGGGTGGGCAGGTCCTAGATTCTCCTCCTGCGCCCACCGCCCAGTGAGCAGAGCCTCGTCCTTGCAGGCCCTGCCCAGCCCCACAAAACAGTTAACAAGCCGACGGGAAGACAGCACCTTGCTTAGGGAATACACTTCCCCACGCCGCAGCCCTGGGCAGGGGCCTAATTACTCCCAGCGTCACAAAAGCAGCGTCTGACATAAAGATGCCGCAGGGAATACGACTCCGAATTTAATCACAAGAGCCACGGCGAAACGCGGCTGTGGCAGCTTCCTTTGACAAGGAGCTGAAGATCGAGGGCTCTGGGGACCAGCTCTGGCAGGGGTGGGCATTCCTTCTGAGCAGGCAGTGGCGCAGGCTGGAGATGCCGCCCGCGCGGATATTAAAATGAGTTGCCTGTTTTATGTCACAGGCGAGTGAGGGTTTGCGTTGAGGATGCTGCCTGTGCGTGGAACAGGAAAAGAAAGTAGAGCCGGGAACCTGGCGTGGCCGTGTGTGTCAGGGCTGGGGAAGCCCTTTAGTCTTGCCTCAAGGGACTTGTGTGTCTGTGTGTCTGTGTGTCTGTGTGTTCCAGCTGAAGTCCAAACCACGGCTAATATCAATTGTAAATAGCATTCCTACGCCTCACCGGTTTGTGTGTGACACCCAGCAGTTCCCTTGACACCTGATCATCTGAGCTGCCACCGTGTTTGATGTACCAGTGAGAATGTGTTGGGCTGCAAGTAACAGAATTCTTGACAAGAAGTAGCTGAGTGAGTAGAGGCTTGTTTGTTCACATAACAAAACATCTGACTGGAAATAGACCATCCCAGGGGTGGCTTAGCAGCTCCACAGTGATGGTTTGGTCTTTTTCTCTCTGATCCCCTCGCCTAGCCTTCTCCTCATGGTCACAAGATGGCTGCAAAGCTTAGCTGGTATCAGCTCCTCACATTCATTCTAAGACACGAAGAAGGAGGGGAGAGACTATTTCACAGAATCTCTCCGACAGATTCCCTCTCATTGCCCAGGACAGGGGTAGATGCCCACTTCAAGGTCAGTCACCAGCACAGGGAAATGAAATTTCCAAAATTGGCTTAGAGTAGACCAGGGGTAGCAAATTATTGTATAACTCAAGGGCCAAATTCAGCCTATCTGTTTATGGCCTCCAGCAGAGAATGGTTTTTACATTTGAAATGGTTCCATTTTTAATGGTTAAGTGAGTACCTGCCTTACAGCCTCTTAGTCCTTGAAGCTTAAAATATTTGCTCTGTGGCCCTTTAAGAAAAAAGTTTTCCAACTTTTGGCTCAGACCGGTGAGGCTTTCTGTATCCCCTGGGGCTGGGGTGCAAACCACTTTACAGGCAATAAGAAAATGTTTTGTCTCCCGTGACAGGAAGTACAAAGGTAAGAGCAGCTTCGGGGTGGGTTGATTCAGCCGCTCAATTATGTTAAAGCTCAATTATTTTTATCAGCTCCGCTGCGTTTTATCCTCCGGCCGGGGGCAAGATGGCGGCCGCCACTCCGGGCGCCACATCCGGACGGGACACAGTCTTCAGGAGAAGACAAACTGTCTCTTCCTCTGACTCTCCTTTAGGAGTGAGGAAACTTTTTCCAGAAGCTTCCCAGACATCCATTCTCAGTGCAGAGGCCCCAGCTAGTTAGCCCTGCCCTTCAATATTAACAAGTCACAGGTAGAAGGGATAGAAAACCATGGTTGCCTTGGGGACGTCTTCTGGGGTGACATGGATATGGGGGAGTCACCACCCACTGTGTCCACCTCAGTGCCCTTTGTCACCTCTGCCAGCTGCCGGGCTCTGGACGACTCTTCTGTCTCCCACGTGGCACCTCTTGCTGCCTAAAACCCACCATTCATCGTGCTACTGTGGTTCCTCCATGTCCCTGAATGCGGGTGTAGACCAAGGGTCTCACACTGGCGGACTTCAGGATGGATTAAACCTGACGACATGAAGGCCTTGGCCCAGTCCATGTTAAAATGTACTGAGTTGACTACATGTTAAAGATTGGGAGATTTCATGTAAAAATTCAGATTTCTGGCTTCTCTTTTTAAAAAAATACTAGAAGATCTGGCAATATCGGGCCTGAATTTTCATGGACCCAATGTAACTAGAAAGTGTTGTGGGTGATGCTGCCAACTGTTTACCTCTTCTCTACTCTTTCCTCTGTTCTAATGGATTTCTGATTTTATTCACAGTGGTCATGTGCCCGGCTAAAAAGCTACTCCCATGCTCCTTTGCAGCTAAGGGTGGACAATGAGCTTTAAGGGGAAATCTGTTGGGGATTTCTGGGACGGTTTTGCTTTCCAGATATAGGTCCTACCTCTTTATCCATATTGCATCTCTACCTTCCTCCCTGGAATATGACTGTGAAGGCGGGTGCAGTGACAGCCATCTTATAACCATGCAGGAAAGGCCAGGTGAATTATAGAGCTCTTGTCCTTAACTTCCTTGAGCTACCAAACTTGAGTCAGCCACCTGTTATGAGAAAAAGATAAACCATAATTTGTTTAAGCCACTGTTTAGTTGGGCTTTCTGCAATTTGTAGTCAGCCCATTTTACATTTCTATGCCACCCACCTGGTCACATTTTGCAACCCTTAGAAGAGATTTTTCTCTCAGTGTCCGCATGGTGACAGCTGAGACTGTGCTGTACAGACTTTTTGAAGACTTGAGGATAACCGAAGAGAATTAAAACTCAGCGACGCCAACATGGGATCCCAGATGCAACTGGTCCCAGAATCCACCAAACTCTGCACAGGGCCCCCTCACTCCCAGCAGGAGGCTGGCCTCCGTGTGGCTGATAAACTTTATATGTCACCACACTGAGCACGTAAGCCTTCCTCGTCCAGAACTTCTCAGTTCCATTACAGGACCTGGGCTTCAGACCGTCCCCCATGGTGAATTCAAGCCTCCTTCTCTAGACAAACAGGAACACACCGGCTGGCTTCAAAGGGCAGGGTCCCCTTCATCCCCCTGCTGCCTTTTTCATAACACCAGGGTTCAAAAAAAAGTCTCAGAGCTTAGTCTCAGCTCAAACCCTACGCATAGAAAGCGCCTGTGACGCGCTTAGGATCTGGTACTCACCAGTCTTGAAGGGCACTTGTCTTTAGATAAAACTGTTAGGCTAAGGCCACCTTGCGGGCCGGTTATGTCACAGCTGGCAGTGTGTGGAGGTGACTTGTACGAGAAGCCACGGGGTGAGGTCCCTGAGGCCGTGGCTGGGGAGCATCTGGGCCTGGAGGCCTGGGCTCGAGCCGCAGGGTGGAGGGAGGTGCCAGGATTCCTTCCTGCCAGCCGCGGCAGTTGTATTTCACTTCTTTAAGTCAGGTCAGTTACCATAACGGGCCAAGTGGACGGTGTGTCCGTTAGAAATGCTTTTGGCTGCGAGTAACATAACACCCGACCAAGAGAGGCCTGGACCAAAACGATACTATTTATCAAGTTTTTAAAGAAACTGCTTACCTTGGAATAGTTTTAAATTTACGAAGATAGTACAGAGAGTGCCCACATACCTTCACCTGGCTTCCCCTAATGTAGACCTCTCACAATTCCGTGGGGTATTCGCCAATACTAAGACGTGGTCATTGTTTTTACCTGAACTCCAGTCTTCGTTGGGATTCACTAGCTTTTTCCATTCGTGTCCTCTTACTGTCCCAGGATCCAATCCAGGGCACCACGTTGCATTTAGGTGATTTGTTTGTTGCTTAACAGGAAGTCCTCTGGACACAGGTGGCCTCAGTGTTGTTTCACCTGCTTTAAAAGATTGTGGCAGCCACGCTTTCCCCTGCACTTGACCTTGCATCCCTCCCCTGCAGGTCTGCGTGCCTCAGAGGGAGTGCTGCCCGCCCCCTTCTGCAAGGCCGGCCCCTCCTGTGCTAAGCCTCCCTCAGCCCCGTCCCCACCGTTAGACGGAGACCTCGCTCCATCGTGACGCCCTCCGTCTCTACCCTCTCTCCCCAAGGCGTGCTTTCCTTGCCTCCTTTATCTTAACCTAAAAACCAAGCACAAACAAAACCCAAAACAACACTCCTGCAAGTCCAAGTTACTGCCAGCTTTTTCCCTTTCTAGAAGTTTCTAGAAGTCCTCATCTGCATCCCCTGCTTCCCTTTCTAGGGAAGGTACTATCTCCACTTCCACCCTTGGTGATGGAAGCAACGTCACCTCCCCCAAAGCTGCTTTCTCTGGGGTCACCAAGGACCTCGACCTCTCTCAACCCAGTGGCCTTCCCTCAGCTTCCAGCCTGCGACTTGGAACTCCCAAACACACAGCCCAGGCGTGGATCCCTCCAGGACAGTGTCCTTACACGCATCACTCCCAACACGCGTTTCTTGCCCTTTCTTTCTTCCTCCCTTTTTCCTCCCACTGAGATGTCACTTACACACAGTCAAGAGCACACATCTTAGGGGTACAGCTCAATGAACTCTCACTTGGGGGTACACCCACGTAACCGTCACCACGATCAAGACATAGAGTCCTGCAGCACCAAGAAGGCTCCCTCGGTCCCCTTCCGTTAACTACCCACCAAGGAACGCCTCTCCTGACCTCAGCTCGTGGATTTGTTTGGTCTGCATGTAGTCCTGCGTCTAAACCGCCTCTTCTAGAACATGCTCTTCATGCCTGGCTCCTCTCAGTCAACACTATCGCTGCCAACACCCCTTTCAACAGCAAATAAATACCTCTTTACAATGCTGCCATGAAATTCACAGAAGGTAGAACCCTTTAGCCTTACTTATTCTTTTAAATCAACATCATGCTCTCATTATAATATAAAGGAGAAATAAAAGTTATTTATACTAAAATTTTTATTTTGATATGTGCACGTTCTGGTTTGACTCACCTAGAACAGGACAGAGGACCCGGTAGTAAATATTTTGGCTTTGCCGGCCACATGGCCTTTGTCACAACTATTAATACTTAACTCTGCCTTTGCAGCAGGAAGGCAGCCATAGACAATATATCCATGAATGGGTGTGGCTGTGTTCCAATAAAACTTTATTTATAAAAACAGGCAGTGGGCCAGATTTGGCCAAGGGCTGTGGTTTGCAGATCCCTGGCCTAAAAGGTGTAAACAGAGACCTGTACTGCTACGTAAAATCACCAAGGATTCGACAGCCGCACTGCAGACTGCTTCAGGCTCGTAGTATCCACAACTCAAAGAACATGATCCAGGTTGTGCTACTGACATGATTTCCGGAATGGTGACCAACTCTTGGTAAAGTTCCAAACAAATCAAAGAACAATCTTCTCTTGATTTATGCAGTGACTATAGTCATGGATAATTCAGTGTCCATTAGGAATGAGTGAAAAATACGGTGTGTATACACAAAAAAGATAGTCTCATTCTAGGTACAGAACATTATAAAGAGGTTTTTCACCTATATAATGCCCAGAGGGACACATTGGGAGGTCACAAAGGATGGGGGTGAGTCTTAGATGTCTGGTGCTGTCTTACATGTTGCAGGGTGTGTGGCATCTCATGATCCACATATTAAGTGGCACTAGTGCCCCCGTCATTGCAAAGCCAAAAAAAAGAAAAAAGAAAAAAACCACCATGAGGTTATAGAAGGCGCCTTGGGGACAATGTCATTTATGCTGGAAACCAGAAGCATAGGGAGGCAAAATTTATGTCCACATGTGAGTAAAATTTACATGCACAGGTGAGAGCAAAAACTCTAAATTGCCTCATTTTACCCAAAACTGGCTAAGATTAAGTTGACTTGTGTGGGCCTCCCAGAGATAAACTAAGATTCTATTTATAGAAAAAGAAAGAACATTGCGGTTTTTGTTTCTGCACACTTGAGTGAGTGAGCTGTAGAATGTGTACCCATGCAGATGTTAACACAGCTGGGCTTTCTCTCTTTCTCTTTTTCAGATTGTTCAGATGGAAAAAAAAATCGCAAACCAAAAACGGATCTTCTTAAAAATGCAGGAGGCCAACAACCCCCGGAAACTTCAGAAACAGATCCACGTTTTGGAAACCCGTTTGAATCTCGTATGTAAGGTGTTCTTGGCAGTTTTGCCAGCAGCTCTGACCCGCTTTGCTGAGACTGAAGAACGGTGTCTGCTGGGCCATTTAGCAGAATGCACCCACTTCACTGGCCCACTCGGGAGAAGGTTAACTAATGGTGGACATGTAGACCAGGAAGCCTTTTAGAATTTACCATCCACCTTAGCAAAGGCTGCTGTCCCCTGAGCCCCTCCCCGAAACCCCCACCTCACCCGGGATGCCTACTCCTAGTTCCCTGTCTCGAAAATTCTTGCTTGTTTTCAAGAAACAGGTCACCAGGCAGAATTAGTTAGACTTTCCTTCTCCATGGCAGTCTTCTCATGTCTCTATTATAGCTACTGTCTTTTTTTTGTTGTCAATGTTGTCTCTAAGAACTCTAAGGCATAGACGTGTATAACATGATGATGGGAAAAGTGACAGTTCCTAATCACCCTCAATTTACAGTGACTTTTGCATTAAGCAGGATTTTCTAAATTGCAAAGTGGCTTAAGCAAAAAAAAAAAAAAAAAAAAAAAAGGACTGTACTGATCATAGAACCGAAAAATTCAGAGGCGGAAGTGGGGCCTTCAGGCATAGCTGGATCCAGGTGCTTCAAACATGTCTTTAGGACATAATCTCTATCCATCTCCCCTCTGGGTAGACTTCATTCTTGAGTAGTTCCCAATGTGAACAATTGTGAGCAAAAAGGAAACATCTCTTTCCTAACAGTATAATTTTATTACCCATAGGTCATGCTGTATATTAGCTCTCTAGACTT